TGGACTTTGGAAGTGAGACCGTGTCTTTAAAAAAAAAAAAAAAAGTTTCTTACTCTTTTCCCCTGGAAGCTAGGGCGCTTATAATAATGAAAGTCATAAGAATTTCATTGGTTTGCATTGGTTTATTCCTGAATGGTCTGGAGATAATTGCCTGTGATGCACTTAGAGCCGTCTGAATCTGGTGCTCTTTTTGCCCCCCACCCCCACCCTGTGCTCAATCCACTGCTGCCCCAGGAGTTTTCTAAGGCCTCATTGTTTAATTTCTCTGCTCTCAAACACAATGATTCCCACTGTCTGCAGGAAGAAGAGGGGCTTTTATTTAACCATTTCCTATTTTTGGGCATCTAGGTTGTTGCCAATTTTGAAATTTTCCAAATAGAAAAACACTGCATTGAGCATCTCTGAGCATCCCCCTGAAGTTGCTGAGATTGGTGTTGCTATTCTGGCTTCCCAGTCTTCATTTTTTCCTACTTAACTCCATACAACCAGCAAAAACAACCCTGTGGGTGTCAGGATGTCTTCGAAACAGGCAGGACTTAGAGCTGCCTCTCGTGCTAGCTGGAGACTGGCCACTGGGGCCATGTGCAGCGCCTGCTGCCTATCGCAGCCCGATGCCCCAGAGTACATCATTAATAAACTTCCCTGATCTGTTTATCTGAAGCAGAACTCAGGGGAAACACAAAGCCGAATCAGCGCCTGCAGGCGAGCTGCGTTAGGCATCAAGACGGTGCTTCATTTGTCACAGCGCTGGGCTGGCCTGGTAAACAAGGGTGCCACGCGGGAAGGCTTTCTTTTCCCTTCGGGTCATCCATTTAACAGAGTGAAAAGCTCATCTGGAGGATGCTTTATGTAAATTCTTCTCTCGGGATTTGGGCCCCTGCTTGACTCATCTTTGTGAAAAACTTTGATCTAAGTGATTAAAATTATTTCCAAACCAGTGATCAAAATCAAAGTGTTTGCCTGGAGGATTTGCTGTCACATAGCTCTGTACCTTACATATGAGTTTCCTTGACTATTCCAAATAATTTAGGAAGCTTTTTATTCATTGCCATTCATTTTTCATTAAGACCGACTTTTGTTTTTCTTTCTTTCTTAAACTGGATTTGGATTTGCTTCAAATGAAAATTATTTTGAGTGGGCATATAAAAGTACAACTATTTTGGAAAACTGATATTTAAAAATATACCCTGTGACCCATCAATTCCACTCCTAAGAATTTGCCCAAGAATATTGAACATAAAGGTCTGCAAAGAGACTAGTATAAGAAAATTTATGAGCTCATAATGGCCTCAAATTGGAAACAACCCAAATGTTTATCAATATGGAAATAGATAAATTTGATATAATTGTACAATGGAATACTACCCAGCAATGAAAGGAACAAACTAATGAAACATGTAACAGCAGGATAAATTTTAAAATCATTATGATGAGTGAAAGAAGCTAGACATTAAAGAGTGCAGGTTGAAATATTCCATTTTTATGGAGTTTGGGAACAGGCAAGTAATCCATAGTTGTATAATAATTAGAAAAATGGTGATCTCTGCGAAGAGTTATCAACTGGTTGTGGACATGAAGGAATTTTTTAGGGTGTTGGAAATGTTCCACATATTGACCTAGGTGGTAGTTATTTGGGTATATACTATATGGGCAAAAATTCCTTGAGTCGTACAATGAAGTTGCATGCTTTATGTATGTTGCACTTGTGTGTGTGCACACACACGCGCACACACACACACCTCTAACTAAAATGCAGTATTGTATGCTTTGCTTGGTGCCTAAGAGGGTCCTAGCTATAATGCCCTTAGTCTTGGAAAAGGGTCCCTCTGTTAGTTGTCTGTTTTTATATAACTACTCCAAAAATTAGCAGCTTAAGATAACAAACATTATCTCACAGTTTGTGTGGGTCAGGAATTTGGGGGGATATCATGAGTTTCCAGCCAAGATGTCAGCCAGGATTGCAGTCATCTGAAGGCTTGACTGGAGTTGGATGATTCTTGTCAAGATAGCTCATCTACCTGGCTATGATAACTGACTCACGTGAAGGCCGCCATTCCTTGATGGCTGTTTGTAGGAGGCCTCAGTTACATGTCATATGGATCCCTCTGTAGAGCTGCTTGAGTGTTCTTACAGCAGAGCAACTGCCTGCCCCCAGAGCAAGTCCTAATCTCAAAGGTTACCTTCACTTCCTCCATATTCTATACTGTAGAAGCCAGTCACTATGTAGAGTCTACATTCAAGAAGAGGAAAGTTAGGCTCCACCTTCAAAAGGTCACTTGCAAAAAAAGATCAGGCCATATCATAGTTCAAACCATGGCATCTAAAATATAACTATTCTAAACATTAGTTTATAAGGTACTCGTCTTTTCCCTTTAGCATGTTAAATAAATTCCATGCCATTTTGTTTCATGTGGCCCTGAACTAATTGATCAGCAAAGATGGTTCTAGTGTGACATCAATTTTGAGCCAAGACTGAGAGTCATTTAAACAATCTAAGAAATGTTTTACCTCTCAAATTCTATCAGTCTCACCAAAGGGGATCTCCTGTACCTTAAAAGCTAAGAAAAATTTCCCACTAGTCAAGGCCTACCTAAGACATACCTGGTCTTCCATATCTGAAGGAGTGCTTTTTGCAACACAGTTCCCTGGTCTAGATGTGAGATGAACAGGTAACAGAGAGATAAACACGCATCTGTTATGGTGAGCTGGCAGGGAAGGAGGTCATGTTTGTGTTCCAGGCACTTCATTAAGCACTCACTTTACATTTATCTTTTCAGAAGCTGGCCTTCCTTGCTTTACTTTGGAGGATCATTAACTATCATTAAAAGAACCAATCTGGCTACTGTTGTGTACCTTAGAGCAATCCATCCAGAGTTGCTCGTGGGATACACAATTCTATCAGAAACCAACATGTGATATCCAGGTGCCTGCCCTAAGTAGCTTTTGATTTGGCGATCATAGTAGAAACACCTGCCTGTTTTTCTTGACTCTTAGTGTGCGTGGCTTATGGTCTGAATCAGTCATGACACAGGTACACTATCCCTCTGGAGGTTGACTGCTTAACCCTTTAAGGTGCCTCTAAGGATCCTCCAAAGCAGATTTCATGTACATTTCATGTATATTTAGAACCAAAGTATCCTAAATGTACCACAAGCTTGAAAAACATTTATCTAGTTTTTTTTTGTGTGGTAATAAGAGAAAGTGTTTTATTGAAATGGATTCAATTCTTGCATATAAATTAGGGTTTTTTTTTTTTTTAAAGGGTAGGCTAACTTTTGTAACTAACAATCCCCAAATTTCAGTGACTTAGCACAGTAAGAGTTATTATTGTTTATACAATGCCAGTGTAGATGTTGGCACATTCTTTTAAACAGCCCTACTCCACATGGTGACTCAGGGATTTAAGCCCTTCCATCTTGCAACATCACCATCTTCAATACATGACAGAAAGGGAAGAGAGTATGGGGAAGCTAGGCCAGATCCTTGACTGTCTTTGCCCAGAGTTGACACCCATCATTTCTGCTTATATTCTGATGGCCAGGACTTATCACATGGCCCTACTTAGATGCAAAAAGGGCTGGGAAATGTAGTCAAGAAGAAAGCTGTTTACCAGCAACATTTCTATACCGTGGAAGAAGAGTCCCAGTTTGGGGGGTCAAGTAGTCTTCCTCTGCCATACCCATGTTCCAGATGAGGAAACTGAGGCTGAAAAAGTTTAGATAATTTTCTCAAGTCATATAACTAACATGTAGCTGATCTGGCATTTGAACCCTGGTCTATCTGATTCCTAAGTCTGTATTATTCATACTACATTTTAAAAATGAGATATCAGCCGGACGCGGTGGCTCACGCCTGTAATCCCAGCACTTTAGGAGGCCGAGACGGGCGGATCACGAGGTCAGGAGATCGTGACCATCCTGGCTAACATGGTGAAACCCCGTCTCTACTAAAAATACAAAAAACTAGCCGGGCGTGGTGGTGGACGCCTGCAGTCCCAGCTACTTGGGAGGCTGAGGCAGGAGAATGGCGAGAACCCGGGAGGCGGAGCTTGCAGTGAGCGGGGATCGCGCCACTGCACTCCAGCCTGGGCGACTGAGCAAGACTCCGTCTCAAAAATAAAATAAAAATAAATAAATAAATAAATAAATAAAAATGAGATATCTACATTTTAAACTTAGACTTGGAAGTTCAACCACATTGAACTTTTCAGATTCTGAAAATCTTATCAGATTCTGGCCTCGACAGGAGGAAGGCTACAACAGTCTATGGCAAGCAACTTCAGTTTTGCCCTACAGCCCAAAGAAGTCTTCCAGCTTGTCCTTCCATACCTTCTTTGTCCCTGACAAGTCACTTTGGATTGATGGCTTTGCTGGATGGTCACTTGTTTTAATTTTGTTTCTGGATGGGGACTTTCAGATACCCTTAGCTCTGAGTTCTAGATCCCAGAAGGAGTCCCATGCTCAGCCATCTCTGACCTCAGCCCAGTCTCCTGGTCTCTGGTCCTCAGCCAGCCCACCTCCCAGCTTGCTACCTTGCCAGAGAGGTGGTAGTGCCAGGGAATTGGACTTGTAAAGTGGTTTCCTGTTAACTACTGATTAAAGTCTCTATTACAAGAAAACAAGAAATGTTTTTCTATTCCCAGAGATATTTTAAAGTAAGAAATATTGATTTTAGCAAAGATGTTTATGTTTCATTAAAATATTTGAATTTTACAAGCATTATCATTTTTAGTTTTGCTTATTACCTTCCACTCTTTTCTTGTACTTGTATATGTAGTACATAGTCCCTAATCATAATGTACACACCGTTGTATTATTCTTGTTCACTTAACACATTGTAAATATTTTCCAAATTGAATTGTTCTACAGTTCTTAAAAAAGCACGATGTGTATAATAAAGGCAATTATCTCTTACTTTATCAAAAAGATTAATAGCAAAGAGTTTATAGGTGTAAACTGAGGCGCAATATGTGAATTTGCTAACTCTTCTTTCCCATGCAGATATTTCTCAGGAAGAAGTCATTCACAGAATTGCATATGGACATCACCATACACACCTACCCGGTGGCATCAGTGAATGGAGAAGAGGATGACCAAATATTAAGGTCACATTGAGAAGCCAATGTCTGTGGCATTGACCAACATTTTGAAAGCAGATGAACTAGAAATTAAGCCTCAGATATGGCTGACTCCAAAACTCTAGCACCTTCTACCGTATCTGGCTGTCTACCACAACAACTTCAAAATGAGGAGGTTGAAATATGTTAATGATTTTCAGACTCTGCTCTAAGGAGTTCTAGGTAGGTCCATGACGAATCACCTCCACCTTTTCCTTTTTTTTTTTTTTTGAGTCAGGGGGTCTGCCTCTGTCATGCAGGCTGGTGTGCAGCAGTGCCATGATCCAGCCTCAAAATCCTGGGATCAAGCAATCCTATGACCTTAGCCTCCCAAATAGCCGGGACTACAGGCATGTGCCACCATGTCTGGCTAATTTTTATTTTTATTTTTTGAAGAGATGGGGTCTTGCTATGTTGTCTAGGCTGGTCTCAAGCTCCTGGTCTCTCACAATCCTCCTGCCTGAATCTCTGGAAGTGATGGAATTACAGGAATAAGCCACTGCTCCTGGCCCTCCACTTTTATCTGTTTCATATATTGGGCTTTCCTGTAAAATATCTTCCAAGAGATTTAGCAGGAATCTATTGGGGCCTACTCTGGGCTTTCACGATCCTGTGGCTGTTAATGGATGACTCCCAAGGTCCCTTCTGCCATTAACATTCTCGTAGTTAAAAATGTGGTTCTACAATAGTTTGCCTTTCAGAGCAGCAGAGAAAAAGTGGGGTGTCCTATGGTCTGATTGCCATCTCTACCTTGCGAGTGGTCATTAGAGGAACCCAAATCCTCAAACCCTGTAACAAACATATAATTCTTTTTTCCCCCTCCTTATTGGTCCAGATTTATTGATCTGGTTTCAAATAAAATAATATAGATGCTAATCAGAGGAAACAATAACTTTGTGCTCTTCCAACTATCTTAATGCAGCTTAATGCAGTTTTTTATCAGAATATTTTTAAAATTTAAAGATATGTTTACTATTTTTCCTCAATGTAAAGATCATTCATGCACATATGAAGGTCAGAACATTTTTTAAAAAGTAAAATGTGAATAATCTCATTGACTCAGAGTTGATGATGATGTTCACATTTATTGAATGTGCCAGATTGTGTTGTGAACACTTTGTATGTCTTATTTAATTACACTATATGTAGCCCATTGCCGCATGATGAGCAGGCTGTGAAATTGAATGCCCCTAAATGGAATTTAGCATTATTAGACAAGATCCCACGCTGAGAGGAAAGGAAAGGTGAAACTCAACTGAGTTTTCCTGGGAGCTGGTTGCTGAGGTGGTTGTAAGGAAGACTCTGGCCTAAAAAGCTCGAGTCCACAGGTTGAATGCGGGCCCTTTCTTTCTTCATTCCTGCCTTTTCTTCTACTCCCCAGGCCTGTGAAACATCCTCAGATCTTTGCCTTTGTCCCCCAGGTATGAGTCTCTCCACCTGTAACAGAGGATTGTCTCTGTCCTCTGGAACTTAGCTCTGGTGTGAAGACAAGATAGCTCGGGGAAAGAAATGCTGGGTTTTGAGTGAGAACACAGCACACAGGGAAGGAATTAATTGAGAATTCTTCCCAAACTGTAAGATCACTGCTCAGCCATGTTATCAGAAGAACATACGGGAAAACTGTGTTAATGTCCTTATGAACTGTGGGATGGTTTGCTAATTCCCTGTAGGGAAACAACAGCAGACTCGAATTTCTTGACTTTTGACTGGTTGTTTATTTGTGTATTTACTTTTACATGTATGTACTGTCATGGGATGCTTAGGGTGTTGCTTTACCAGCTGGAAACCTCTGTGACTGGCAGTGCCTCTTCTTGGGTTTTGCTCACACCCGCTGGGCTCCTTCTGCCCACTTGGCCCATCAGGCTGCGCGTGGCTCCTGCTTCCAGCCCAGATCCCACACCTGCCAGGGTGTGTGTGTGAGTGAGCAAGTGCAGGGTCCAGCCACTGCACACAGCCAGATGTGCCAGCTGTGGTGGGGCAGGCAGCTTCAGGCGCCAGTACAGGTGCCAGCTCTGTGCAAGGCTGCAGCTGGACCAGACGTACTGCAAACAGCTTCTGCTGTGGGTACCAGCATGTGCACAAGGGGAATGCAATAATACCAGAAAGCTCAGAGACACCAGGAACCACAAAGCCCCAAAGAAGGAGTTATAGCATGTCACAGCCATGACTTGGGGAGCCCTGAGGTCTGGGCTCCCAGAAGGTCTTCTCTCCTTCTTGTCACCCACAATGTGGTGAGCAGGGGGCATGTTTCATTCCTGTTTGTGTTACAGCTCTTTCAGTCCCACCACTCAGCAGGTCCTGAGTTCTTGTCCCATGTCCAGGAAGAATGAGGCACATGGGCAACTGAAGAGTGAGCAAGATGGAAAGGAGCTTCATTGAATGACAGAATAGCTCTGAGGAGACCCGAAGTGAGTAGCTCCTTTCCACAGGCAGGCCATGCTGATGAGTGTCCAGCTCTCAGTGGAGAGGAGACCCATAGTGGGCAGCTCCTTTCCACAGGCAGATCATCCTGACCAGCATGCAAGTGTGGCTGAATCCAGGGATTTTATGGGCTTAGAAGGGAGGAACTGCATGATGATTGGTCCATGGGTGGCCATGGGCATACCTGGAAAAAGCACCATAAATTTTCACTCTGGGTCATGGACACCACCTGGGACTGGCAGCCTGGCCCCCAGGCTTCAGGCTGTCCCTGGTTTGAAGGTGGGTCTTCACCAGGGACCCACCCCTTCCCTCCTAGGACCCTGTCTGCCTCCTGCCACCATCAACATGCCCTCCATGGCACCCAGGCTGTTCACACCAAGGGGCGCCTGCAGGCCTGCATCAAGCCTCCCTCAGCCCTCCTGGCCTCCCTTCCTGAGCTCGTTGGTGCTCAGTTTCAGAGGGGGCCAAGGCAGTGGGGAATGTCTGGCATGTCAGTGCTGCCCTGAGTGTGTACACACCTAGCTGGGCCATGACAGCACCCAGTTTCAGGCTCTGAAATCGGAGCAGGTGTCGGGAGTTGGGAGAGGCCAGAGAGTGGAAGCAGGCACTTCCAAGCCTGTGGGGGCAGGGGGCTTCCCATGCCCCTGAGCGTACAGGGATGCCTGGGTCTGGAGCTGTGTCAATGTGGCTGCTGCTACACTGGGGAGTGAGGGGCTGTTGCCCAGTCAACTCAGTAGGGGGTGGGACTTCTGCCTATTCCCACCCTCCTCTGGCTCTGTAGAACACATATCCCCAGCTGCACCTTCCCCACTGCAGCTGGCATCCCCACAGTGGCTGCTCCAAATAGGCCACCGCCACCATCAGTACCCTGGGCTTTGAAAAGATAATGGCTGCTAGTTGTGCAAATTTTTCAAAATAGACTCTTCACTCTAGTTATTGTTTTGTGTGTATGCATTTGTGAGTATGAATTTGTGAGTATGCATATGTGTGTGTGGCAAATTTGGGGAAAGACATTGGGTCATATGAATTCATCATAGTGGAACATAAGTCAGAACTGAGTTTCACAATTTCCCAGGGTTATGCAACGAGAGTCAGACTAGCTCAGAGTCTTTGAAATATTGTAGATAACTCAAATATTGTGTGCATTTTTCTCAGAAAAAGTTACAGCATTTAAATTATTATTTAATTGTATTGTAACTTAGTCTAAAGTCTGCTCTTAGACTGAAGAGCCGATAGCAGATTCAGTTCCCCTTTACATTTATCCATAAGGATGGTTTGTCTGTGCCGAATGGGGGAATGGGACATCAACCACCACTTATAACCCTGCTTATAACTTTATAACGATATTGCTGGGAAATTTAATTCCTGCTTGCTTATGACTTAAAAAAAGTACATCCCATTTATACATTTAGAATTACCATGACAAAAATAGGCCCCCTCCCCTAAAAAAAACCCATAAGTATTCATAATATATTTAAAGGAGATAAATTACCCAACACTGACTCTGAAGAATAACCCAGGGAGGTGGTGATTAAAATACTTTGGCCTTATGAAAGGAGCATATCTTTGGACCAGATTAATTTCCTTTTGGCATTTATGCAGAACAGGGAGTCGATCTCTGCAGATTCTAATTTACAACAATGTCAACATTTAAAATAGACCACTAATAAAGACGCCAAGAACAAACATGCCTCTAACCTGAGGTACATCAAATAACCCTTCCCTTGTATGTTTGTTGTTTTGACATTAAATGCAAATAAATAGAAAAGTGGGACCAATATTAGGTACACATTTAAACTATGTTTAATAATAATTGTATGAGCATCTCACATCATTAGCTTTTTTTCCTTTGTGGTGTTAGTGAGGTATAACTGACACATGTATTTAAAGTATACAGTTTGATGAGTTTACACACACACATGCATCCATGAAACTGTTGCAGGACTTTTCCTTAGTTCAGTTAAAGACAGCGTTCTTTGTCCTACGGTCATCAAAATTCAGGCTTGCAGATCGTTGAGTAAGGCAGGGTTTTATTGGGTAAAAAGGGAGAAAAGTGGGAAACAGAGACTCTCGCTAGGCCAGAGTCCCTGCTAGAGCACTTCCTGCCCACCATTTGAATCCCATGTTCCACACAGGAAGAGGAGGGACCAAGCTTCTCCCCGCTGCAAAGGGCGTGAACTTCCTGAGGCTCCACCTCAGTGGGCAGGCTGGTTGGAGTTTCTCCAGGGACCCCCACCCATCTGGCTGTCTCAAAACCATCACCACAATTAAGATAATAAACATATCTATTAGCCCCAAAAGTTTTCTCATGGCCCTTTGTAATTCCTCCCTATATACGCCTTCTCATCCATCTAGGCAATTGTTGATCTTCTTTCTGTCACTATGGACTAGTTGGCATTGTTTGGGATTTAAAAAATTTATTTTTGTAGGGAAAGGGTCTCACTTGGTCACCCAAGCTGGAGTGCAGTGTTGACTTCCTGGGTTCAAGTGACCCTCCCACCTCAGCTTCTTGAGTAGCTGGGACCACAGGTATGCTCCACCGTGCCTGGCTAATTTTTAAAGAGACAGGGTCTTGCTATGATGTTCAGGCTAGTCTCAAACTCCTGGCCTCTGGTGATCCTCCCACCTTGGCCTCCCAAAGGGTTGGGAATACAGGCATGAGCCACTGTGCCCAGCCTTGAATTTCATACAGATTTATTTTTTTGGTTTAGTTTCTTTTTCTCAGCATAGTTATACTGAGGGTCATTCATGTTATTGTATGC